TGCTGAGATAGGAGGATCCCAAGTTTGAACCCAGCCTCGGCAACTTAGTGACTTAGGGAGGCCCTGTGTGAAAACAAAAACTAAAGGGCTGGGGCGGCAGTTCAGTGTGAGGCCCTGTGTTCAAGGCCCGATGCTTATTCTTCTCAAGTTTCAAATTACATGGTCAGGTTTCCCATGTCAGCTCTTGCCACCAATCAATGACAATGAATTTACAAGTCAATTTCAAACAACTGCATCTTATATTTGTGTTCTTTCCATCTAAAATAATGTGCTTCATTTATTTGCACTTAACCTACCTCCCAGATTTAATATACAACGCAAATAAAGAGCATCCCTGTTGCACTGCCATCTGCCAGCCAGCTACAAAGGGCGTTTGTTAGGAAGAAAAGGAGGCAGATGAGGCTCGAGGTTCGGGAAGCTCAAAGCCAGGATTGGGTGCCCGGGGCACCTGCCGACCGCTGGGTGACTCTCCCTGCTAGGAGAGAGTCTCGCAATTGCAGACTAATGCTGATGTCTCGATGTCCATCCCCAAGGAGTCCCAGAGCCAAACACTGTCTCTCTTCAGGGCGGACGCAGAATGGATGCCATTGTGGCACCTGTCCCTCAGGGAGGCTGCTCTGCAGCACCCACAGACAGTGCTGGGGGCATCAGGTCCTGCTGCCAAGCACTGTCCAGGGGTCACCAAGGACTGACAGCAGCCAGACCTGCCCACCAGAAGTCCCCGGCTCAGTCCTCCCAGGACCCAGGCCACAGGCCACTTCCCTGGAAAGGCCCACGGCGGGGAGGGGACAGTGTAGGCAGCACCTGCCCTGGGACAGAAGCAGTATCCCCAGGACTTTGAAGGTGTCCTGGCGTCCCATCCCTGTCCCCAACCAGGCAGCAGAACTGCAGCCAACCTTGGAGAGCACGGGCCACAACCCCGGAACACCTGCGCCCTAGGCCCCTGCTAGAGGCTTCAGGTTTACACCCCAAAGGCAGTTGACACAGAAGCCTGGCTGCTCAGTGTCTGCTCTTCTTATCCTCAGCCAGGAAAACGGTGGCCTGGGCTGGATGGTGCCTACAGAGCTGTTATCTTTGGCCTGAACACTGTTCGGATTTTTTTTTGTTTTTTTGGAACCAACATTGAACAGTTTAGAGATTTCCTGTATTTACTTTTAAAAACTGAAAGGTCTGGGCCATACCAGCCCTGCACTCCAGCCGGGACCTGGCAAAGCAAGTGACTCTGCACACACGAGGGACAGGCGCTTCCATGGGCAGGACTGCGCCTGCACCCCGCCCGCAGCACCGGGTCTCCCGGAGAGGATGCCGCGCTGAGACACCTCGGGTCTTCATCCCGTGTCACATTCCTCACCTAGGAGCCTCTCCACACAGCTGATTCCCACGCTGAGGGGATCGGGCGTGGCGGACTCGAGCTGAGGAGGATTTAGAGACAACAGCAAATCAATCCCTCCAGGTCCTCTGAGTACAGCCACACGGAGCCCTCGTGGGTGGATTTTTAAATAGATGCTATTTTTGAAAGAAGTACGTCAACACCCCAACAGACACACAGACACACATGCACACACACTGCAAGCTGACTGTTAAACTCCCGTTTCTCTAGAAAGTCCCCTCCCCCTACAATGTCAGCTTGTTTTTCTCACGGGTCTCTTGGGCCAGGTCATTCCTGCAGTGTTAAGGGGTTTTTTTTTCTCCCTTCGCTGATAGTAAGCTTAGCTTTCACTGCAGATTTATCGCCTCACATTCACAGACGTCTGGGAACTGCAAAGGGTAAACAAAAGGTACGCATGCTGGCCGAATCCTGTCAGAGCCAGCCATCAACACTAACTTCCCTGCGAAATTATCATGCTGTATAAATTAGGTGGATTCAAATCAGCAACTTGGGAACGACTCACACCTAAGAAAATTTTTTGAAACTATCGAGACAATAAACTGAGCAGCCACTGGTTATTAGATGAAACTGCAGAACCGTTAAGCTTATTTATTTTGTGGAATCATTGTCTATACGTAATGATGAGCATGTGTGGGTGTGCACACGTGTGTTTCTGCCAGTGATTTTAAAATTTATTTTTATTTTTTTATTTTTTGGTACCGGGGATCAAACTTGGGACCTTGCTCATTGCGAGGCAGGTTGTGGAACCACTGAGCTAAATCCCCAGCCAGTGATGTTTTTTAGAAAGCAGTAAACACCACAGGTCTGCTGTCACATGGGACTCACAAGGCCGGAATCGCTGTCTGTCTGTCACAAGAGAAACCAAGCTGCCCCTGGTCCTGGCACGGGAGGGGCTCTGGGTCACAGGCCAATGCCAGTCGCAGTGCCACCCTGAGAGGGAGGGTTCATCTCAGACGCGTGGGAAAGCGCCATGAACTAACGGTGGCAGCCAGGGCCCAGGACGGAGAGCAGGGCTCCCTGTACCATTGTGCACCCCCTTGGGAGCATCCACGCGAGCTGCTGTGGGGAGCTTACCACCCACGGTCACCATGCCTCCTTAGATGGTGTGGCTGCCCCTGGCATCTTCCAGCATGAGCTCTCGCTCCCCAGCTCACGGCCGTATGACTCAGATAGGAGTCTGGCTGCAGCAGAGCTCACAAGACACCTTGCTCGACCTCCCCAGGATACCTTGCCTGTCCTTCAGCTCCTGCATCTGACTCCGCGCCAAGGGCCCAACCCCCGGGATGGGTGCCAGCCTGTCCCTGCCCTGTCATGAGTGCCGCAGCAGACCATCCTCTTGTGTTGTTGTAACACAGTCCCCAGATGTCTTTCCCAAGCTCAGGGTTTGCTGTTCGGAATCTCTGCATCCGGAAACTTTCACGTTTCACATCCAGGTGCTATTCTGAGCTCAGATGCCACCTCAAGCCAACTTTGGTTGGTTGGATGGAGGTCTCTAAAGTCTTTCTAGTTCTCGGCAACATCGGGTCAGCCCCATTTCCAGGCCCTGGCACCACAGCAGGACTCAGAGCCCCTCCTGGTCCCCACCACCCACCCGAGACCCTCCCAGAGAGGGGGAACCCTGACCACCACAGGTCAGCAAAGCGGACCGAGTCATTCACTCACTCACGGAGACCAAGCCCACAAGGGCGGGTGGGCCACGAGCCTGTCACCCAGCAGGTAACTGCTCAGCCACAACACGCAAAAAACTCTAGGGCAAGTGGAAAGCCACTCCCAGAGTGTCAGGAGCCACAGGAGTTGAGAGAAGAGATGGGTCTTCGGCTGGGCAGGGGAGGTGGTGGAGAAGATTGCAGATAGGAAGTGAGAGACTGGCAGGGCGGGGACCCAGGCCACCCCAGAGTGGTAGGAAGAACAGTCTGGGGTGCTGCACAGTCTGGTCTGAAGCACAAAGTCATGGGCACTGCTAGGGAGAGATCTGTTGGAAACACGGAGGGCCCACTGAAGAGGTGGCTTTCCGTGTCAGGATCGGCTCCGAGGAGTGACTCACATGGAGGAATGCAGGGCCATCTCAGGTGGGAGGAAACGGAGAAAGGTAAGGACCCAACCGAGGGTAGAGAAACAGTTAAACTGGCGAGCAAGCCCCTGGTGGGCACACTCAGCGCGTACAGGGGCCGGGTTCAATCCAAACACCAAAAATCACAAAGCCCTGCACTTACTAAGCGACTAAACGGAGGGGACGAGAGGGAAACAGGGTGAGCTGGGAACAAACGAGAGAGCAGCAGACAGCTTCGCCACGCTCTCCTCCCCTGCAGCCTCCCTGACCTCCAGGGCTCAGGGAGTAGTGCTGTCTACACTGACCAGAAGTCCATCACACCTTCCCCCCTGGCCTCCCCCGGGTTGGTGGCATGACGGGCGGCCCCTGCAGCAGCCTCAGAAGCACCCGTTGTCACCTGGGACCCCGTGCAGGACAGGACCCGCCTCCACCTGCTCCCCATGGACTGAGCTTCATCACCTCCGTCCGCCAGACACCCGGGGCCCTGCGCGGCACAGCAGCGGCCGTCTAACTGGGCAGGACGGCTGGTCACACGCGGAGCTCAGCTCCCTTCGCCCCCACCGGCCACACTGCTTGTCGCTTGCCCGAGAGAACACGAAATGTGTTCCGAGGCCAGCATAATCTCTCCTGGAGTGTGACGGGCCATGCCCATTTGCTCACAATCACGGGGAAGGAGGTGACCTGGGCCTGGACACTGTGGGCGACCCTTGCCGTCCCCCAGATGCCAGAGGCATGGACAGCGGCACCAGGCAGCCTCTCCTCGAAGCTCAGGACGCCGCCCCCGCAGCCTGGACGTGCCTCCTGCTCTGAGCTGAGCGGCCCTTGCACAAAAGGCACAAAACGTTGTCCTGCCATCATTGGTGCCAGCCAGGAAAAGCCGCCAAATGCCTCACCAGGAAGCCACAGTGCCTGCCCTGCGGCCCACGAAGGAAGGCTGCACTGGGGACCTGCCTCCTGGGCATGATCATACGATCATGTCCTCGTATGATTGCCCCGCTCCGATCCCGGCAAAAGTGCGTGTCACCCCTGGGTCTCTGCTGAGGTCCTGCATGCCGGACAGAACTTCTCTCTGGGACCTGAGCGCTCAACACCCAAGCTGCAGTAGGGTGAGTGGGAAGGCTGCCCTGTCTACCTCCCTTATGGCGCTGGAGTGTTTGTCTGCAAAGCTTCCAGATGCAGCAGGGGGTCGTAGACGCTTCTGAGAATTTGGGGAAACGCTGACACAAGACAGACGTCAGCAGGGCCCAGGGCCCGCCCGACATCCATTGGGCTCACAGGGAGGACAGGGACCAGCAGGCCTGTCCCGCAAAGGCGAAAGAGGCATCAGCTGGGCTGCGGGCTGTGGGCACCCCTGCCACCACCCACCTCCCCGCTGGGCAGCGCCACCCCGGAGTGGCCACGGGCTCTAAGTAAATAAGCGCCACGGGCCAACGGAGTTGTATTTACGGACACTGACATCTGAATGGCTTATTTTCCCGTGTCACACGTGTAGTGTGTCCGTCTCTCATCTTTCCGTAACTATTTCAGTCAAATGCGTGCCGCGGCAGCAGCCTCCCTTACCAGCGCGTTCACGTCCTCGGTTTTGTGAATGAGCACCCGGATCTCCTCGGGGTCACCACTGAAGATCGCCTGGACCAGCGGGGGCTGTGAACACAGAGAAGGGGCCACTTAGCATGGTGATGAAACGCATGGCTGCGCTCAGACATGGACGGCGAGGACGTGGTCAACAGACCGACCCACCCGCGCTACCTGGGGGGATGCAAGTAAAGAAATAGCCAGAGCACGGGTGAGAGCCCCTCCGCCCGGGCTGGGAACGGCTGTGAGTGCCACAGGAAAACCGTCACAGCTCCGGCAGCCCTGACACGGGAGACGGGCTTTGCGCATCTAGCCCACCCGGACTGACCCACGCCCCCGAGTCAATACGTGAAGCTGTACCCACAATGTGTCTCTATTCGGAATCAGCCCTTCAGGGAGACAGTCAAGGTCAACTGAGATCATCTGGTATGGCCCTAAGCCAGGGGGACCGGCAGCCCCAGAAGCTCTGCACCCAGAGGCACTGTCGTGTGTACACAAGCACGTGGCTGTGGGGGGGGTGGGGGAGAAGGGCACGAACACCAGCCCGATGGCCCTGTATCTTGCACTTCCAGACCCCAGGACTGTGTGAAAATCACAGTCCGCTGTTTACAGCGCCCAGACTCTGGCCTTCTGTCATGGGTGCCAAGTAGACTGAGTCCCCATGATTCCAAAACTTCTTCCCCCCAGTCCTGCAGCCTGGACCAAAACTTCACCCTTGTTAAGCAAGTGCTCTACCACTGTGTTACAGTTCAAGTCCTTTTCACAAAATATGTTTGAGACAGGATCTTGCTAAATTGGCCGGGATGACCCAGAATCTGTGATCCTCCAGCCACTGCTTCCCAAGTAGCTGGGATTATGGGTGTGCACCAAACATGATTACATCCCCTGCTGGTTTCAAGTAAATGGGAGGGTGTGGGTTAGGGGGCTGGTGCTGGGCTCACCCCACTTTACAAGATCCTGCAGCACTGAGCCCATTTCCGGTGAGCACCCATAACTTGACTGTTACAGGATCAAGTAAGAGAACACACAGGAAAACCTCCCATAACCGAACACTCACACACAGTCCGTGGACATTTACATCAAAAAAAAGTTCAACACTGGGTATGGAATACATCACCATCTTTTCCCTAAACTTTAAAACCCTTGACAATTGCACACACATACTTATATACACGCATGTGCACTGCCAGCTTTTGCAAACATGTTAGTCTGGTAGGCAAATCTGGTGATTCCCGAATTGTCTCATCCTGGAGTTGGCAGGGATGCCCAGGGCCGAGGCTCCAGGTCTTCACCAGGTCTCCACCTACTTCTGAGCAGCCGCCAGCAAGCAGGGGCCCAGGTGGGTTGTCAGCACCATCGCAAGCCCTCTCCCCATGCTGTCTGCTCAGGAACCCGGACCTCATCCACCATAAACCATCTTCTCTCTCCTCTGCCCTCCATCGCTTCTCCCTTCTGAAGGTGTCCACTGCTAGCATGGGGACCACTCAGACACCGGAAGAGCCCTTGCAGAAACGCTGCATACAGCGTGTCAAACCAGAGGCGTCCACAGCCACATTCCGGGAATTCATCCATGGCTTTCCCTTCACGAACGCTCCTGGCCCGTGGACAGATGGATCTCTCTGCTTTGTTCCCAAAATAATCCCCATCCTACCACTCACCAGGCACAGGGACAGTTTCTCCAACTGCCAGCAACAAAGCAAGAAAGATGTCCTGGAATGAGCTCGAGGTTTCTACCGGCCAAGCAGTGGCTGGCTGCTCTGCTCCGACCCTCACGCTGCTGTGGGCGTGTAACCAGCACAACCGCTGTGGGTGTCAACGTGAGGAGCCAAGCAGCACTAAAATGAGAGATTTGATCCAGCCATTCCCCTCCTGGGCATCTTTCCCAGTGAGTTAAAGACATCGTATTACAGCAGGCTGTGCGCACCCGTGTCTGCAGCCCAAAGCTCATCAGAGCTGAACCTCGGGAGCGGCCTGTTCGTCCCTCAGCAGGTGAGGATACAGAATGCGGTTTACACACCGTGGGGCAGCGCTCTGTTACAAAGAAGGATAAACTTGAGTCATTTGTAGGCAAATGGATGCACCTTGAGACCATAATGTTATGTGAAATAAATTATACACACAAGCTTAAATGTTACGTAGTGTGTTACATACGTATTAAATATTACATTCTCTTATATGAGAAACCCAAAGTATAAAGAGCAAAGAAAAATACAGATGATAGGAAATAAGGAGACAGATCTTTTGCAGAAGAGAAGGGGACCAAGAGATGGAGGAAGGGCCAGGCAGGAAAAGGGAAAGGGATGTAAAAAGCATTAAGCAGTGCTACGTCCACGGACCAAGTCCACAGGAGGAATGTGATGATGTACCACACACACGTGCTAATAAAAATAGAAATTGAAGAGAAAAAATAAAGATGAGCCGATGCTTCCGAGTTCGTGCTGACCCTGGCAGAACCCTGCTTCTGTGCCAATTCTCTGCCAAGCGCCCCTGGCCGAGCGCTCCTGTGTGCCCTCCACTCTGAACTTTAAGAGAAAAACAGCTAACCCAGCGAAGGCTGCCTCGCTAGACAGCGGTGGGGTGCGGGGTGCAGGAGCCACCACTGCCAGGCCCATCCGGGTCGTGGGCTGCGTGTGAGGGACGCAGAGGCGGCCCTGCAGGCCCCCAGGTCCCCACGCCTGTCGGGAAGGCGCCCCAGCCCAACCGGGCAGGAGGGGGCGGGGGTGCTTGGGACCCCCGGCCCAGCCCGGCCAGGGCGCAGAGACCACTCTGAGTCCGCACAGGGCAGCACCCTCCCCACCGCGAATCCCAGCACTGTTCCACTCAGAATCTCATGCAGATAAAGGTGCCCACTGCCTGGGTGATTCTGGAACTAAATTACTGTGATTTTTGAGCAGGTAGCTTTTTTTTTTTTTTTTTTTTTTACATTATGGGTGTTTCTTTTTTATTTTTCTCTGCACTCCCAAATAAACATGCCCATAGAGCACTTTGACATTTCTCTGTCATTGGGATTTTAACTCAATCCTGCTATTTTATTTTTCCCCAGGTAAGCACTTCACCTGAAATAAGAATCTGGAAAAGGCCTATCTCAATGGTGTCTCTATGACATGACTGTAAGAAGGGGGACATCACGGCCATGCTCCTAAGTACCAAGGACCCATGAGTTTGGCAACCGCTGGCGGCTCTTGCCTTGACGTTGATGAGGCGTGGAAACAAAGCCTCATCTGAGAGCCCTCCACCTTGGGTGCCCAGGGCCTGCCCTCCCTGGCAGGGGTCTCCATGTCCATGGGTATCGGTGAGCGCCGGGCAGCTACAGCCCAAAACACAGAACGGGAAATGCCAGGAGCAGCCCCTCCACCACGGAACCCTGTCTCATCCGCTGCACCCCACCAGGGATGTGACTGATCCTTTTGTGTGGTTTGTCCACAGTGTCTACACTGCCTGCCTGTAAGTCACGGAGTAGCCCTGTCAGCCAGCAGATCGACCGCACTGGCGTCACTGTGCTGCATTCAAGAGACGCTGGCTTGACACACAAAGCTGGCAGTGCTGGGCGTGTGTTACAGTGAATTATCATAATTACTTTCTTTTCTCATTAGTGGTTGCTAACCTCTTATTGTGCCTAATTTATAGGCTACATGTTATCGTGTACAGGACAAAACATGGTGCCAGTGACACAGGGTTTGTCCTCTGGTGACTGGATGCGTCCTTCCAGAGGGGAGCATACTGCTCCTCTCCAAAGCCTCGTGCTCCAGCTTGGGCACACGTGATACAGGGGTGCTCTGCATGTAACAAAGTGCAAAGCTTGGGAAACACGAAATCCCAAGGGTCAAAACTGTGAGAAACAATTGTGGCAGGAAAGGAGACTGAAGAGTAGCAGCCCTTCCTCGGCAGTTCTTCTGGGCGTCGTGCCAGGTGCTGTGGACGTGGGCACAGACTCCTGGGCGGGGGGGCACAAGGTACCCCCTGGGCCCAGCACCACAGCAACCTGGGATTTACCCAGGAGGCCTGGCCCAGCCCCTCCCACCACCCTGTGTCGCCAGGGACTAGGGGCCCTGTGAGGACCAGGTGCACAGCAGGAGGCGCCACCCTGGGCCCGCTGTGAGCTGTCAGCTGACTACCAGGGCTGCGAAATGAAACGCTACCCGCAGAAAGCTACTCTTTCTACCCACTTCCCTTTTCAGCCCTTCCAGTGCAGTATCTTTCCTTTTTATTTTCACTTGAAAACAAACTGGGAAAACACTTGGTTTCCAAAACAAAGGCATGAAATCAAACAAGTGTGTGTGTGTGAGTGATAACTTTCTCTCAAACTTCCACACAGACTCAGTTCCACTAGGGGAGCAGGAAAGTAACTGTTACCTGGGAGATAATGCATACGTAGGGGAAGCAAGGTAGCTGAAGGCTCCTCGTCAATCAAAAGGTAAGGAACTCAAGCTGCCAGAACAGTGACTAGTAATAAGTAAAAACACACAGACGCACTAGTCCCAAACAAACAAACAAAAAAATAAATAAAAACATCGACTCTCCTACTGACCTCTGAGGATCAGTATTATTTTGGGAAATAAGAACAAAGCTATTTAAATTGATAACATATCACTTTTTATCACTTGTAAAACACAATTCAATCAGTCCCTCGATTCCACCAAAATATGCTGCTGGAGACATGGGAGGGCCGTCCCGGTAAAAAGTGAGTCCAGAGAAGGGTTCTGTGGGGAAAGCTCGGCTCGGTGAGGTCCTGCTCTGGCCCGCACCAAGACCGTCCCTCCAAAACCCCCCAGCAAAGCCACCAATTTGGTTTTTGCTAAAACCGCTGTTGCACACATGACCTCCCTCTGTTCTCTACCAGTATACTGGCTGCAGAAGATCAGCAGAGAGCTGCCAGGGAGTCCAGAAGACGCACTCCAAACCCCTGCTATGTGGCTGATCGTTTTCTGGTTAGCCTGGGCAATGAAAGACTCCAAATCTGAGAGGAAGCCTCTTGCATTCCAATCAGGAGTGAATGCTGGGACTCAGTCAGTAGCCAAAAGCGGGGAAATGATGCTCATCAGCATCTGTCCGCGCTCCGGCACTCTCGGCACAGCGTGTCACTGGAGCAAGATGTTATCAGTGGCCGATCGCTGACACCACAGTGACCCTGCCACACCAAACCATCGACTCACGTGACAAGCCGAAACGCGTCACTAGGTCACAGAGGGGCTTTGTATGAGGCAGCGCTTGCGTTTCTGCCAAGGGAGAATAAAAATGTCTTCGAGTCCCTAGATTTAATGAACAGAGCTTGCTGGCTCTATCCGCTCGGGTCCTGCTGTGCGCTGTGCATCCTGAACATGAATCACTCTTCACCGGGGAGAAGCCCGTGCCGCACAGGAAGACGATGATGACCATAAAATCACAGGCGGCTCCCCTGTGTGAAACGCACTGACTCCTCATCGACTTCTTCCTTAAAAATTACAGGGTGATACAAGACCGAGTGAAAATGTTTCACAAAGGCTGTGTTGCACAGTAAATGTTTATAATATTTCCAATTATTAATAAAAACAGAGAGGCTGGGGATTTAGCTCAGTGGTGCCGCCACCTGCCTCACAAGTGCAAGGACCAGAGTTCGATCCCTGGTGCCAAAAACAAACAAACAAAAGCAAGGAAAAAACAAGGAAGGCCTTCTAAATAGATGCTTATCAACTCTATACTTAAACATGATGTAAAATAAAAAGCATTTAATCTGAAAATGGAAAAGTTCATTTATTACTTAACCTTTTCCAAAATGAAAGCACTATGCAGGCACTGACTAGGACGGCTGAGAGGGACCAGTGACCAGTTTGGGGACACTGCACGTGCTCTCGTCTTTGCCGCTCTGAGACCCCACGCCATTTCTCTGCTCTCTAACAGCTACTCCCTCACCCAGGCATGAGCCAAAAAGTGAGGCCCATGCTAGGCGCCTTCACTGCCAGTCCCTCACGGAGGCCAGGCACAAGGACGTGACGAGACGGTGGGATGGGTGAAAGGCAAAGTCCAGAGGCAGGAAGCCTTCTTCTGATCCGTGACCTCTCTCTTCCTCGTGGTAGGGAGACCCAAACTACGCCATCTGACTGACCTGCGATCAAACCCCAGCCATGGTTTCCCCATCTACAGAATGGGACCGTGAGAGTCATTTTGCAAGAGGTGCTGAAGAGACTGCGCACACAGGCGCACACGGGGCAGCTGCCTGGCTCGCGCTCTGCAAACTGTGACCACTGTTGACTGGGAGGGCACGGACAAGGGCACTGACATCCGTCCTATGAGTACGATAAATACAGGACCTTTAAAGATGTCCTTTAAAATAGCAGAGCAAGGAAATCCTACTGGGATCATAGTCCACCACACCCGTAAGGTGAAGGGCCCATCGCACTGACAGAGACAAATACACAGAAAGGGCACCAAAAGCAAAGCAGGCCTGACTTGGCGTGTGACATTGGGCAATCCCAATAGCATCCCACATCTCTGCACTCAGAAACGTAATTCAGGAAACCAAATAACAACTCCCAGAAACAACACATCACCCCGGGCTGATCGGTGTGGGACTCTCCACACTTCCGGGTGCAGTATAAGGTCCTAACTGTACTGTCTCGGGTGTGTTCACACCCTAGGGAGCCGTGCTCTGCCCTAAAGAAGAGAAACCCGAGTTATTCATGGGAAAATGGGTGCACCCTGAGATCACACGGCCGAGTGAGGCAAATCAGACACACAGCTTATGTACCACATGGTTTGTCTTGTATGAAAAACCACAGTGTAAACAAACAGCAAGAAGCGGAAGGGGACCTTTCTCAAATGGGAAGGGGCCCAAGAGATGGGGGAAGGAGGAGGGAGGTGCGGGAGAGGGTGAAAACCAGCCCCGCCACAGAGTGTGAAAAGTGTGCACGTCACAGCCACTTGAGGCTACCCCTTTCCCTGATGATCCTGTGGTGGTCACAAAGGAGAGAAATACCTCTCTGTGGCTGTCAGGAGGTCAAGTGATTTGCCTGTTAGTGGCAAAACTGAGGCCAAGGACTTCGTCTCCCTGATTGCCCCCACTCGGCACTTTTCCTCGTGTGCAGTGCTTGCAATGTACGATCAGCAATTCTGCCTCGGTTTCTCCCCGTGGAGAAATGTTACATACTTTATGGCCCTCTAAGGATAAAAGCTGGACAGGACACAGAGCACACATTCTCCACACGTGTGGACATGTACACTGTACAGTGGCTACACACATGTATATATTTATTTACACTTAACAAAACAGCTAACGGAAAGGCAGATGTTATCAAAAGTCAGAGCGCAAAGGGCCACAGTCTTTGACAGTGGGTCACTGGCATGGGTCTGTGCTCCAGAAAAGTGGAGCAGCAGACGCTGAGCTGCCCGAAGGAGGAGAAGGCCACCCGGGGGCAGGCTGTGCACACCGGGAGCTTTAACCTGACCTGGTGCGTGGGCAGGAAGTGGGGTCTTGAGCAAGACAAAGACAAACATCTTATGTGGCTACAGAGTGCCCTGCAGGGAGGAGGGGCTGGAGTCGGCCCAGGGAGAAGTGGGGGCCGCAATCGAGTGTCCCTGGCACAGGTGCCCCAAGGATGAGGGGCGCAGAGGGGACCGCAGCCAGTTTCCTGTTCTCTGCGGCTGGCTCTGTCCCTGGATGTGCATCTGTTAAGCTCCTGGGCTACCTCCCAGTCCCCAGTGGGATGCAGGGGCTCCCTCGGCTCCCAGTGTACCCTCCTCCCCATGGGACCTCTGAGGATGGAAGCTCTGTGTTGCCTTCCTGTCACTTCAAGGCTGGATTTAAATCATAACATGTCAGAAAAACCGGCCACCTCCACAAAGGGAAAGCAGAGTGCAGCAAGACAGGCACACTGGGCGGGGCGCTGTGTTTTCACCCGGTCTCCCGCCACAGCTGCTGGCCTCCCTGCCCCTCTGTCCAGTTTCAAATCTAAACCTCAGCAAGCTCACTGCACAGAGCTAGGGAGGTAGATTTTAAAGAAAGCTAACTTAAGAGCACAATGGACACAGGAAGTCAATTCATACAGAATATTTAAATCAACACAATTTTGGTGAAACACACAAAGAAACAATGCATCCCCCCGTATGTTTCTCATTTTGAAAAGCTGCCAGAGAAGTTTTATCTCCTATCGTCTTCTTCGTTGCTTTCTCTGTACAGCTGTATCTTACACATGTGCGATGCATATGGTTTCAAATACAAGAGGGCATTTAATAACGTAATCCATATAAATAAAGCATTTCAGTATTTCTGCCGGGGGGAAATCACATAGCCCGAAGACAGCTTTCAGGGTCGGAGGTGTATTCGGTCTAACTTCTCTGCCTGTTCAGATAAGAAAGTAGCCTTTGGATACTGTAAAATATGACTTTTTATTAATACCTAATGTATACATATGTTATCATAAAAAGGACAATGATTTAAAAAGGGTACTTTAAAAATATGTCAGAACATGATCTGTTACTACAGAACAACCCTCTCGTTGCCTCGAGTAATTATAAATTTTGAAAATCTCTGAAACTGGAAGAGTTTTTAAAAAGCAACTTAAGTGTCCTTTAAGAACAGTGAGCTTGACATGGTAGCACACACCTGTAATTCCAGCTGCTCAGGAGGCTGAGGCAGGAGGGTTATAAGTTTAAGGCCTACCTGGGCAACTTAATGAGGCTCTGTGTCAAAATGAAAATTTTAGAAGGACTGGGGGTGTAACTCAGGGTTCCCTGGTTTCAGTCTCTAGTACAGGGTAGGGGGCCAAAATCAAGGTACAGAGACACAAGACATTCACTGGCAATCTCTGGCTATTTTGAGAAGGCTGGAACTACTGTATCTGAGATGTAAGGATGGACTTAGTCCTATTAATTGTTTGTGATTCAGGCAGACTCCATACTGAGTCTCTCTCAAAGCTGTCACTGCACCGATAAGCCACTTTTTTCACACATAGCCATCTTCCCAGAGTCCCAGCAGTGTCCCTAAGCCCTCTCCTTCCTTCCTGTGTGCAGTTCCCAGAAAGGGACAGGGACGGGCACAAAACCAAGTCACTTCCTCGCCTCAGCTTCCCAACCACAGTCAGTTGGAGGCTGTGAGCTGCCTGGGATCTGATCGGCCTCTGCCGGAGGTGACAGAAGGGTCCCTGCTGTCCATGCAACGGCACCCACAGCACGTGAAGCTGGCAGAGGCATCGCCTGGCAGGCTTTCCAGAGCACCTTCAGTCTGGGATCACGCCAGGCCCTCCAGGACAAATGTCACAAGGAAACGATTGCACAGCAGGAAGAGAGAGGAGCCTGAGAGGCTGACAAACATTTGATAACATGAAATGGGAATCTTACAAAAAGTACAGGCTGTCATAGTTCCCTGTGGAGACAGCAACCCGGTTCATATTTCCTGTATTTCTCTACTGACTTGACAAGAGATGGAGATCCGTGTTCTAGAAATCAGTCTGGTGCATTTCCAATAACCACGACCAACTAAATCCAACAGAGATACATTAAGCATAAGAAATGTACCAAGCAAGTCAGGTTTCATGGTGTGTACCTGTAATCCCAGCACTCAGGAAGCTGAGGCAGGAAGATCGCCAGCCTGGCCTACATAGTGAATTCAAGGCCAATCTGAACTGCATAGAGAGTGAGGTCCTGCCTCAAAAAAAAAAAAAAAAGTTTACCAGGATGTGGCAGAAGCTGTGTGAGTGTCCACAGCACAGGTGCCAGGCAGAACCCAGGAGAAGATGCACAGAGGGACAGGAGCCTCATGTGGCCTCCTGAAAGACACAGCCTTTGGAGTGGATGCCAGGTTGAAGGGCACTTACAGGATGTGAAGGGACCGTCCCTGCTCACTTCCGGGGATGAGCAGAAGCTGGGAAGATGAGAGCTCAGGGACAGTTTGGCTCAGCTGGAGCAGGAGGTTTCGCAAAAGCTGAGAAGTGGACATGGATCCCAACACCGAAGGCTCTGAGTGCCAGGACGGACCTCTTCTGCAGAAGTGGGGAGCCACAGATGGCTGTGAGGGTGGACAGGAGCCTCGTGGAGGAGGCACAGCATGGGTCCGGGCCAGAGGGGCAGATCTGAGGGGCAGATGGCCTGTCCCCTTACAGCAGCCCCGGGTGGCTGCCTGGACTGTCGTTGGCTTCCTGTGCAGGACGCTGGGCTCCTGGCACCACTGCCCCTCAATGAGGGCCCCCGGAAGGAAGTGCTACAATGGGGCGGTCGCCCTGGGGCCCTGCTGTGAGCCCCATGCTGCTCCAGGACGGAAGCCCCGCTCTGCAGGCGGCCGCATCCCGCATCCGCATCCGGGGTTATGCAGCCTGCTGCTCCTTTCCACCCTGGCCAGAACCGGGCCTGAGGCTCTTGTTCCGGTGGCCACCTCCCGGGCTGGGCTTTGCTCGTGCTCCTGTCTGGAGCTGAGGGAACAA